GAACTTTTTTTATATACATAGTCTTATAATCCTGTTATTTTAGACATGCCTGACATACTCTTAAGGAAACGGCTTGGATCGTAAGCTTTTTTTTCCTCCAACACTGATAGGTTCCTTATTTTTATTTAATAACTGATTTAGGATTTCGGAGCCTTTAATCTCTGAATTCAGACCAAAGTTAATAATAACAGCGACGGCAGTATATTTTTCATTCATGAGAAGCTTTAATGGCCGACAAGAGTTTTATCCACGTACCCCCTCCACCGTCGGCGCACGTCACTGCCCTCTGCAGGCCGGGCTCATTCAGCCCCCCTCTCGTCAGCCTACCTGTGGCAGCTTGCAGTCGGTCCATACCAGCCAAGCTCTGTGCCGCTGGCAGCGCCTGTCTCACCCATCAGTGTTCTCAGGCTCTGGCCTTATTTATTTACTGGATAAAAAGGCAGCAGCTGTGATGGCCCACCGGATGCTGAGACCCCATAATGAGTCATTAGTACTGTTGCCCCCCCTGCTGCCCACCACCTGAGGGGCAGAGCAGGGCAGGGCAGGGATCTGCCCCCGATGCTGACGTCTTATTTAAAATTTATCTCCACAAATCCTGTGTTTTCTAAGAGCCACTAGGGGCTTAATTCTTTTAATATCTTAATAGGGTTACTAATGTTTCAAATATGCCTTTATTTAAATGGCTGGAATTAGAATTTAGAACTTCAGAATGGAGTAGGTCAGTCAGTATAACTTCCAGTTGGGGCTGTAATGCAGGACTCCAGCAAATACGTGTTTGTTGTGATTTTTTTTTTTTAATGAACTTATCTTGGGAGACTTGGGAGATGTCATGCGTAATAGGCTTAAACTGCCAATAGTGCTCATTTTTTATATAGCGCCTTTCACAACGCTGTGACCCCAAGGCACGAAACAGGGATATGGGGAGTAAAGTAACACCCAAGTAAAGAGATTTAAAAAAAAAAAAAAACGTTCAGAATGAGTCACGTGTCCCTCATAGGTGTGTGATCCTGGTTAAACGAGGTCCTCAGAGACCGCCTCCGTTTGACTGCAGTCTGGCGGCTTGGAGAAGCTCCACTTGTAAAGCTGCTTCATTCACATGCACATTCATGAAGGGGGGGGGGGGTGACTAGCATGGTGTGAGATGCGGATCAGGTCACGCGGGAGCCATCAGCCCCTCCCTCCATCGCCCATCACCCCCAAGCCAGCATGGCGAAGGACAGGGAAACAAATTATGCGAGAGATTTAGCGTCCTTCCCTCCCGGGCTGCCTGTTTGCCCAGGTCAGCATCGGGCCGCAGCCGATTACCACCAATACACTTTCTGTGATGCGCTGCTTAGTCGTTCATTTCCTGGGTTGTCTGGTGCCTTGTGAAGTCTTTGTATATTTCAGGACTTGAAAGGCCTGTTTTGGGATATACAGGCATCTAGGCCAATGAACCTCGAGAGATGAATAAATGTTTATTTTACTATCAAACAATAGGTGTGGTATGCTTGTTCTTTTTATTTTAAGTTATTGTAACAGCCATAGTTATTTGAAATCAGTGTGCATTTCTTGGATTTATGAACTCTTCAAGTTTTATTGTTATGATTTCAAGAACTGTGGAATGTTTAATTATTAATAAATCATTAATATAAATGTTTTTTTCTGGTTGAGTGAGGACAAGAGGGATACTGTACAGGTTCTAACTTGAGGTGATCCGATTCTGCCCAGTAAAAAAGAAAAAAAATCTTTATTTTAATTTTTAAAAATCATCTAAAAGCTGAGAACTCCGCCGAAGTTGGTTTTCAGTCAATGGTAAAAGCTAAATTTAGAGCAAGTTGCCAAAAATACGAGTGTATTTATGTACTGAACGGACACACCTGTCTGTCTTTACCAAGGTTGTGTCTTTGTGAAGCTGTCTGCTAGTAAAAAATGTTAAAAAGACAATGAAACAAAGACGCTGCCATCGTAACTGAGGTTATAATGGTTACCTGATAAGCTCTGTTGGTGTTACATTGGTTTCATTAACACACAAAAGCTGGATTGTCCCAGAAACAGGTTTATTTTGAGATATATTGAGACGGCAGACTTCAAGGGGGATGTAAAAAAAAGGAGAGAGAGTCGTTGTTGCTCCTTGACCATTCTGATGAGACTCGGCTTGTGCGGAAAGTTGAATTAAGAGCCTTGGAGAGGAGCTTACGGTGGCTTGCTGCTAAAACAGCACTCCCCTGAAATAGACTCACCCGCCCTCTGCTTCCTCCTGTAAAATCACACTCTGTTATTTGCCAGAACTTTGTCCTCCATTCACGCTGCCTAAGGTTGCCCTCAGAAACCAATTTACTCTGTTTGACCTTATTTGCATAATCAATTTACTAAGGAGATGTCAGCAGGGCCCCTCTGCTTCGGAGCAACTGGAACTTACTCAGGCTTTACGCTTAATCTTTAGCAATCGCAGATGTCGGGCCTTTCATGTTCTTCAGCCCCTATGAGGTATAGTCATATTTTTCGATGGTACCTTTAGCTTTGGTGACGCATTATTCTGAGCAAGAGAGCAGAAAGTCTGTAGTTTAGGGTCAGGGAAATCTGACAATGTGTTTGCTCTGCCATCCTCCTACCTTTGCATTCTCTTCTTTGATTGAAGAGCTCTGGACGCCAGTGTGAGGCTAAACAGTATGTTATGTAACACCGTTTGATCTGTAGCTATTGCTACTCACGCTAACAATGACAGGCCTGAATCGCTGCAGGCCGCACACTGACCTCCAGTCAGTTGTTAAAATATGCATGATATTTTTAATCTACGGCAGGAAATAGTTTTCTTTCCTTTCCTGTCTTGTGTAGTTACATATTTATATTGTTTCAGGAATACACTTTCTCAGCCTGTGTGTTATGATGATATGGTTTATAATTGTGAATTAGGTTTATATTACATTGTGGGGACCAGATGTTCCCCAGAATGTGATAAAAACCTGCTATTTTGATGTGGGGACCATTTTCCAGGTCCATGGTTACGGTTAGGGCTGGGTAGGGGTTAAGGTTTCATGTTGTGATTAGAGTATTCCCCACAGAAACAAATTGAGAGTCCCCACAAAGATATAATTACAAACCTGTGTGTGTGTGTGTGTGTGTGTGTGCATACATATTTAAATTTCATCTGTCATAAGGTTTCTAATATTCACAAATATTAGTCAAACAAAATCTTGTGAATACACTTTCAAAATATATTTTATTAACTTCAATGTGCACAGCACATATACCACAGTATTTAACAAGTCCTGTATAAAACTACAGGCAGATTCTGGTTACACACGGTTTTAGTCGAAACATATTCCCACAAGTGTCAGCTTCCTGACTCCGCTACATCTTCCTGACCTGAATGCAGGAACAATAAAGAATATAACTGATGAACATAAGAACCTACATTTCTACATCTTCTTTCCTCGATTCCATTCTTCTGTGCTATATTTTTTCTTACTACAATTGCTGCACTTTGGGTAAAGCATAAGATACCAAATTACTTAATGTTCCTTTCTGAGGGACTGCGTGCTAAATTTAGCCCAAGGAACTAAAAACAAATACAGCAAAAAAAAAACATTAAAAAAAAAACAAATTGCAACACAGTGAACCATTACGGAGAGGAAGTAGACACTCAGACTAAAGTGAGGAGAGGGAGGTCTGGAAGGAATGTTAAAGGGAGTCTCACGTTTTTGTTATAAATGTTCGGAGTGGAATTATTGTTCGGAGACACAGAGATCAGCATGTCAAGCTGAAGTGGTTCTTTTGTAACGCAACACCTCAAACAAATCCCAGCTTTGTTGGGTATCCCATACGGTCGGTCCTTATCTTATTTAAGCTCACTTGGTCGCCATTACTTATATTTGAACAGAAAAAAAGAACATGTAAATAAATATATAGGATTACAGGGTGGCCATGTAGTGCAGAGTAACAGCTGCCTGCAGATATTTCCACAATGATTATCCTTACTAAAGTAAGTCACGGGGTAAAGATAGCTTGAATGTGACGAGGCCCAGCTTAAGTCCTCGTGGCGGCTTGAACTTTTGCATAGGAGATAGATTAGAAGGTAGGTGAACACACCCAGGAAGGACAAACCAATGTAAAACCTTTGAGGAAAGTTCTACAATGAGATCACTGGCTGTTAGTGAAACAAGGTAGAAAAAAGGCATGAAAAAAATGATGGGGCAGCTATATGGCCAAGGATACTGCCTACAGTTTAAATATAGCGGTAATGAAGTGTAATTTATGGACAAAATATACCATTTGATTATTAACCTGTCGATTTCATAAAATCTCCATTCTACCAAAATATTGAAAAACTAAAAGCTATTTAAATCAGCTGCCAAGAAAAAATATGTATCACATATGATGAAGTCACGTGAGGCCTTGAACTGTTCTGCGTAGAATATGCATTCTGTGAGAGCCAAGGGCATGATGACTGGATTACACATCATTATCCTGTCCCGCCTTTTATTTTAAACAAGCTGAAGAAGCAGGGCGATTTCTCTCTGATACATCGAACGCCGTCCAAGTCAAAGTTCAAGCCCCAGTTTGAGCCAAACCCAGATATGAGGGACAGCTCTGTTAGCCTGTAACACCTTCTGCCTTGCCGCATGTTGGTAGGTGCCAATCGAGGCCTAACACAGAAAAAATTCTTCCCAGGGAAGGAAAAAGAAAGTTTTACACAAAACCGCATAAAAAAAAAAAACTCTTTGTAAAATAAAGGAAATTTTCAGTTCAATACTTGTAGCAGCAAACATAGTGATAAATAATATATACATATCTGTTATTAAATAAACCAGTAGTTATGTATTTCCTATGCACAGAGCAGAAATCAGCACCAGTGTAATAAATAAATTGTCTTTTGCACTATATACATACCTGAATGGTAAAGCTTAAACATGATACACCCATTCCTGTGTAAAACTTCAAAAAAGTGCATCTTTTTGAGTCCCCCATTTGAGTCCTCGACATGTGACCCCCCCCCCCACACATTCATATTCCTCCACATGATTTGCTCATATTCTTGGCAGAAAATGTGTGACTGTTGTCGCCGGTGAGATGCGGTTCCCTTTCTTCGTCTTGCCCACTTTGCTCAGGCCTATGTACATCCCCGGATACGCCGTCGACTCGTAGGCGTTATAATTATTTGCCAGGAGCTTTTCTTTGAACTTGCACTCGTCGTTGAAATGACCCTGAAGGGAGATGGAAACAAACACGTCACGTCCTGCGATGATTGGTCGCCTTGCTTCGATAGCCCCTGGATTCACGCAGCAGTAAGGAAGCAGTTGCCCGTGGTGTCAAGTTGTAAAAAGGGGCAACGGGAACATTCAGCAGATGATGTTGAAATACTCTGGGGGGACACAATGGCGACTGCACACTTGGTCTTTCTGGGTCTACAAACTTCTTTTCCTTAAAGCCTTTTTTTAAGATCATCATACATTTATGAAAAATGGCCCCCATCTCGTGGTTTGCAGAATGATTTCACAGTTGGGCCCTTAGTCAAGCCCCTTAACCCCCCCTCCCCCCAATTGCTACTGGGACTTGCTGACACTGCTTTCTAAACTGTATGTTGCTTTGTATATAAGGGATGGATGGATGGATGGATGGATGGACGGACGGACGGACGGACGGATGGACGGATGGATGGATGGATGGATAGATAGATAGATAGATGGATGGATGGATGGATGGATGGATGGATGGATGGATAGATAGATAGATAGATAGATAGATAGATAGATAGATAGATAGATAGATCATAATATTTAATAACTCATCCCTGGACGAAAACACGCCAGAACTGCGCTCAGGAATGCGACGGCAAGGCAGTGGCAGTGCAACTCATGCACAGGGCAGTGAGTCTATAGGGAGGGGTGAGAACGCACTCCCATGTACTTACAGATCCATACAGCTTCCCTTTGAGGTTCATGGCCACGAATAGACGGCTACGGACACCAAATAGGGTGACCACTCCTCTTTCCACTGGAGAAATTTCCAGAATACCTAAAATGAACGACAGTGGCAAGAGATTTAGACAAGGGCATTCTGACCGATTTGTGTTTGTTAGTGTGGGAATTATACTTTACTAGGTGATAGAAATTGTGTGTGTGTGTGTTTGTGTGTGTGTGTGGGGGGGGGGGGGCAGTATGTGTATATTACACTGTGGGGAACAAATGTCCCACAGTGTGATAAAAACCTGTTGTTATGCCGTTGTGGAGACCATTTTTTTCAGTCATTACAAGAGGAGGCTCCGTTTGATAAAAATCTGTAACTGCAATCAAAAAAACAAAAAAGTCCTGTATTTTGTTTGGTTACTTATGGTTAAGGTTGGGGCTGGTTGAGAGTTAAGATCGTCATTATTGGGATTAGGGTTTTCCCATATAAATGAATGGATGGTCCCCGTAAATATATGAATATATGAACGTGTGTGTGCGCGTGTGTGTGCGCGTGCGTGCCTGTGTGTGTGCGTGCGTGTGTGTGAAAAAAACCACTTGATACGTTTGGATAACTATAGATATTTACCATGAAAAACGAGGTACCCAGATTATTCTCACCTCACACTGACAGGGTAATACTCCTGCAGCTTAAAATAATACGCAGTAAATGGTGTTATGTAGACAAGGATCATGACTGACATGCAATGCTCATATAAACTACGCTTTTACAGCGCTCTGGTGTGAATTTCTGTAACGTTGCCTTTTATTTTTATTTTTTTAATGAATCAAAATAAGTTCAGGAGCATAAACACCCCGTAGCTCTTCAAATTCATCACGTTGCCCATCTGCCATCAAAAGAGTTAACATACTCCTTAGAAATGCTTCGCATGTGGTGAATAGTAATGCCTTTTCTGGGAATCAAAGGCTAAATGCTCAAATGCTCACATTTACGCGTTTGACTGGTGAGTGTTTCAGTGGCAATGAAAGTTACGTCATCTGCGTGCGGTCATTGATTGTTCTGGATTTTGATTGAATAGTAACTGCATGGGACACTATTTTCTGATGGTACGAGGAAAACTTTAATAAAAAAGAACTAAATTAAATATAATCTATTCTCTTGTGCTGTGAACGCATTTAGCATTACATATCTGCGCCCAACTTTTAAAATGATCACGTCCTTTCTGTTAGTTGAAAGCGAATTTTTGTACCAAAACCCATTGGTACCAGAACTTCATCGCACATATTGCGATGGGCAACTGCTGGACATTATTAACTGAAATATTGCAATTTGGTGGGCAGAAAACATGTTAATTCTGTTTAGAACTTCGAAACGGGAGCCTAATATATGTTCTTAAAATAATTAAGATCCTGATTTAAAATGCTGTTCGGAGCTGTACTTTACTTGCTAACAAATTATTCAACATAAGACCAAATTCTCTAAACACTGTATAGTTAAACTTACTGTATCGATTTTCGTTGTGGACTCCAGTGATTCTTCCGTCCGGTAGGACTTGTATATGAAATCCAATACCCACATTACAGTAAAGACGCCGCAACCTTTTGATTCCAGTAAGATAGTCAGTGTCTCGGTTGGTGTCTCTTTTTTCCCCGTGGATCCGAGCCAAGGAGCGCGAGTAGAGGCTCCCCCAGTGTCGGTCTAACGTGCCGTTCTGCCTGCCAGAAAGGGGGGCACCTCGCACCAAGCTGGACAGCACTCCAAATACCAGTAGCGGTAATAAGGCCGATTGGAAAGTCATCCTGGTCAATATAGATACACGTCTCCCAGATAAAATTCCGTCTTGTGTTTTTGTGTTTTTTTTTTTTTTTTTTTTTAATAACTAGAAACCAAAATTTGGCAAAAGGAAAAAAAGAATGAAGCGAGCGTGAACACCGACTTCCAGACCAATTCCCCGTTTAGAATATCCACTTGTTCTTGAATGGAGTTTTTTGCTGAGAGGGCATGTGTTTTCCACGAAGGTCGACTCACACTCACTTCCAGGTTGTTTTGAATTCAAGGAGAAGTTAAGAAGTGTTGATTGTCCATAACGGCGCGGTACAGCCATACCGCGGCTCGGCCACTGACGATATTTATATCCGCTTAGAAATTACATCATACGCCACCTACTGCAGCGCCAGGCAGCTTCTGCCTGAGACCATCGCCACCCAATGATGCCTGACCTCGCCTTGTTGCTAAGATCATGCAGAAGAAGACACTTTTTTACAAACACCGCCTTCCGAATTCCTTTGAAAGAATGGAATGTGTATAAAAACGTTAAAGTAGCTCTCTCCTTTAGCGCATGGACCTATAGAAAGTATTGAGATTCTGAAAAGAGTAGAGGCTTGGCGACATTTCATTTTGCTTTCTGCATCGCTAACTTCTATTATAATGCAAAATACAAAGAAAATGTGTATGGGAGGGTGTACATGGGAAATTGCAAAAGTAACAATCTAAAATATCGTTCAGGTAACTACAAATGAACAATAACTGGAAAAAAACAATAGTAGAATCCAACTTATTGTAAAATTTAACTTTTATATTTAAACTTACATTGCCCCATAATAGGAACAATTGCGAGACTAAATAACGTTTTGTATCTCGAAAAAGTACTTCTGATATATTTTTGTTTTAATCAATTCTAAGCCGATTACCACATGAAAGTCAGACGCGACGATTGATGTCCCTAGTTTGTGTACTACAAGCATGCCTATACAGAGTATGTGCTCTATTAAAAAGTGCTGATTGAAACTGTTATACCCGACTGAACATACTGATTCATACGTGGAATCCCTCCTCCTCATTTTTTTAGTAAGATGTCCGTTATCTGACAAGCACGCCTTAGTATCTGAATATTCCAGATATGCGGTATTATTTGTTGCGTTAGCCGCAGAACGTCTTTTAGAGGAAAAGCGAAAAGGAAAAAAAATGGAAACATGAATTTTTCAGTCACAAGTAAGGGCACCTTAACGTTGGATAATATCGGATCTGAACAGATTAAGCTTTTATCATGATTCTCAGTGAGTTGATTCGATGAAGAAGGGGGAAAAAAAGAATGCACTTAGGTGGGTTAGTTAAGCCGCACGTTAGATGATGAATGACATGATATTCGGGGATTCTTCAAGAGTAGTACGAATTTTAACAAAGTAACGACTTCTTAAATACAATACCTTTTAGTAAACGCGAGTGACAATTGAGAGAGGCTTTAAAAAGACATTTTGGCATTCAGGATAATTCCAATCGTTTGCGATATTATGATTCTGTCGTTATTGTTATAATAAATGAACAAAAATAGGTCTAGCATAAAACACTTTTAATCGAATGTTATTGAATATAATAGGTAAGAGAGCTTCCTTGTCATTGTTTATTTACATGATCCTCAGTGACTCACTGAGTCGGTGAGGCAATACATGAAGATCCTTAAATTTTCCTTGTCATTGATTGAACGGTGAGACCTTTTAAGTTTATTCAATGCAGATATTAAATAAACGAAGAATTTTGTCAAGTTAGACAAAAAGTTATTGCTTGTGTAAGTTAATTATTCCGCTGTGAATTATTTTTCTTTTTTCTTTTCTTGCTTTTTTTAATAAAAAAATAAAACCATCACCGATTCAGTGGGGTAAACACATAAACTATTTTAATAATAATAACGACGATAATAATAATAATATACATAGCATGTTACATTCAATATAATTAAAACTTTTATCTCAAGTAGTTAAAAAAGTTATTTGTGTGTGTGTGTGTGTCTCATATTTTGCTCTCCACTTATAGTTAAGATTACGGCTGGGTAGGGGTTAAGGTCATTAGAGTTCCCCCATAGAAATTAATGAGTCGCCACAACGGTATAATTATAATTTTGTGTGTGTATGTCTGTGGGGGGGGGGGGGGGGGGGCCCCCCCCCCCCCCCCCCC